ACCATGTCAAATTAAAGAAATTTAATCAGAAAGCTAAAAAAGTACAGGAAATCTTTTATCAGAGGGTGCTGGTGATCAGAATGGGAGATTTTCTTTTAACACATAAATTTAGAGGCAAATAAAACCTTAAAGGCAAGAGACAGAGGAAATAACTCTCTTTTCTACAAATGATAAAAGCATTAGTAGGGAATAAAGCAGTGCACATAAATAGAAGTGAATTGAATTTCCACTTCATTTGTTGAGGTCTACCCCTTTGAACTATGAGATGCAGGCCTTGGAGAATAGGTGTTCCTTTTTCCACTGATAAAGCAGGAAATCAGAGGTTTAATTAACCATTATTAGGACATTTTGCTGATCTGATTTGTCTCACCTATTTCTTTTTTTCTCTCAGTAATAAACTGCCTGACATCCTGGAAAAAGGACCAAATGAAAACCTGAGAAGAGTTTCTTAAAAGCTGTGAATTGTTATAAAACAAACTGACCCTCAACCGGATCTATCCAAAGTATGTATTTCTGAAAAGGGATTAACTCTTTGATGATAAATCAGCACTTTGAAAGAAAATGTACAGTCAGGTAATACCTTGTCCACCCATACTAAGGATTTATTCAGTTAAACAGATGGAGGCTTCAAAGTATTGGATCCCAACAACTTCAGCTAGCTCAACCGCCTGAATCACACTGATTAAGAGTTGTTTCAACAGCTGCCTCTTAAACTGAGAAAATATTCATCTTTTTGGCAAATGTATTCTGTGCTGCCACCGATGAGATAATACTGCTAGTAAATGTCTCATTTCCATTAGAGTCATTGTATTATTTAGGGTAAGCAACCTACCATGGGCTGGGGGTGGGGATCAGTATCCTGGTAACTACAGTTGCAACTTTTCTTTCAAAGTCCTATATCTTTGATAATGACAAAAATGGTAAAGCTGAAAACCAGGTACAAACAGAAGATTTGATGATGATTTGGGGCCATTTCAACGTCCCATTTCTGGGGTTGGATACAGCTCAGAAATTCATGGCTGCTATGATGACCATGGGCATATACCAGGTCATTACAAGCTCAATCCACATATCTGGCTACATACTGGATCTTGTCTTCACATTGGGGCAGACATGACTTGGTTCTGGGGGATTTTTCTATCAGTCTCATATTGTGGACTGATCACTTTCTTGTGATAATGGGTTAATTGGAGCCACCACCCTCCACAGTGAGGTGGGACCAGGAAAGCCTACCTCAGAGCCTGATGGATTCACAAGGTTTTCAAATGGCATCAGCCCTTCGAGGTAGGCAAGGTCAAGAAATTGGCAAGGCAAGGCAAGATTCCAGGAATGCTCTTTATTCTTGTAGGGTAGAATAAAAGAACCTTGAAAGCTTGTCAGACTTTCTCTCTGCCCCATCTTATACCAAACAAAATCAAAGAGAATTTATTTTTACTTTCTTTCTCACACTTTCCTCTTTCTCAGGACTGAGTAATCTTTTCTGAAAATCCCCCCTTAAAATTTTGCTCATAACTTCCTCATTCCCAAGGCCAGGTCTACATATTTTTTACAAATGGTGCTTGAGGATTTTCCCATGCAGGTGTCTTGTTATCCTCTGAAATACAGAGCAACAATAGAGCCTGATAAGATCGCCCTGAAGCAGTCCCCCTCTGCCCACCAATCCCAGCCCCTTGGTTTTCTGGGAAGCCCTGGGAAATGAAGTGGGTGACAAGGTACCTGGAGAGATGCTAATGGGAAACGACCAGAGAGAAGTATGAGCTCATATCTGGGCTCATATCTGAGCCTACTCTGTAGTGATAAAGCAGTGCTTCCTTGTCCTTACTGCATCTGTGGAATATTGGTCAGTTATACTCTTTTGAGAGTCTAGAACTCAGTTAGGGAAGGACAGGCTGGAATTAGTGTAAGTTGTAATTGGCTGGCTGAGTATTTTATGGATAAAAGCATTTTCATTCACTCTAAGCTGAAGCCAGATGGACAGAACTTTTGAGGGAAGAGAGATTCCATTAGCTGTAAAAGAGGTGTGGGTCCACAACACCATTTAAGAAACCAGCTTTGCATCCAATGGAAATGGATAACTGTCATCCTATTTCCAACCTTCCCTTTGAAGAAGATTGCTGGGAAGGTGGGCAGGGATGTAATTACAGAATATTCTGGAGGATACAGATTATCTGGACCCATGGCTGTCAGGATTCAGTCCCAGACAAAGGCTGGAAACCACACTGGTCACTCTTATGGATGACTTGTGGAGAAACCTGACTTGGCAAAGTATGTTCATTCTTGTCTTCCTAGATGTCTTCACTGTTTTTGATACTGTTGACTATAGTATTCTTCTGGCCCACCTGCAAGGATTAGGAGTTGGAAGCACCTTGTTATAGTGGCTTTGTTTCTTCCTGAGTGCATGGGTTCAGTTGGTAGTAGCAGGGGAGTGGCTGACCTCATGGGTGCTTTGTTATAGGATTCCTCAGAGCTCCATCCCTTACCTACCCTGTTTAACATCTACCTGAAGCACTGGGAAAGGTCATCCACCAGTTTGGAATTAGCTATCACCAATATGATAATGTTACCCAGTAATATACAGTATCTCCACTCCAGGCCAAATGGAATATGTAATACAAGTTTTGACCCATGCCTAGAGACTGGCTTGCCTAGGATCTAGATGAAGAGAAACAGGCTGAGACTTCACCCAAGCAAGATGAAGTGGCTGTTAATTCAGAAGCTTACTGATTATTCAATGGTACCACTTTGACTCTTGTGTGATTGTGCTTCCCCAAGAGAGAGCAAGCCCGCTACTAACTTGGAGGTCCTCCTGGACTCATAACTGCTGCTGGAAAAGCAGGTAGAAAGAGTGGCCAGGAGAACCTTTGCTCATCTTTGGCTGGTGCACCAGTTGTAGCCTTACTTGGAACAGAATGCTCTGAGGATATTCACTCAAGCTCTCATTTAGATTATTGTAATTCATTGTACATGGGACTGCCCTTGAAGACCATCAGAAATGTCAGCTGGTACAAAATGCAGCAGCATATGTGCTTACTGGTTAGTCTCAATACTGCCATATTACACCTTTGCTGTTGAAGCTACATTGGCTGCTAGTGAGTTTTCAAGTGCAATTCAAGGTGGTAGATGCTACCTTTAAAGCCTTATATGGCTTGGATCTAAGAGATGCTTTTCTAACACAGCTATACCCATCTGACCCAGACAGTCAGAGAGTGCCTGCTGAGGTACTCTCCTACCATGATTTATGTTGGGAAAAGTTCAATGGCTGGCATTTTCTGTGGGGTATCCCCTCTTTTGGACCAGCTTGCTCTCCAAGGTGAGAAGGGCCCTGACTCCCATGGCTTTCTGGAAGCTGGCAAAAACCTGGCTCTAGTCCTTTGGGGATTGACCAGCACCAGTAATAGTTGTTTTAATCATATTGTATTGTTTATTTTATACAATTGTATTACTGCTTTTATCATTTATATACCACCTACAGTCTGTCAAGATGGGGTGGCAGATAACTCTCAATCAATCCATCAGTCAAAACACTGATCTTAAAGGAAGTGTTGCACATTTTCAGGAAACAGTGCTAATATTTAGATCCGTTGGGTTAAATAACAAGTTGGGTAACATATAGCTCCACTAGTTGTATTGAAGTGAAATCTAATAGTTATATCAAAGTAAAATTTAAACCATGCTAGGTTGACACTAACAGCAATCTGGAAGAGTGTAAGAACAAAATTATATTTGATATCTTTGCACTGAACATACAGAGAGAGAGAGAAAAAAAGAAAACAGCATTTTTTTTAAAAATGGGAAAAAATTAATAGGGTTTGAAGCTGACATGGAAATGAAAATTAATTCCTTTCTTCTTTGATGCAGAAAATTCCTTTTCTGAATTTTGCCATTTGTTTGGTTGGAATTTCACACTGATATTAATAGGGAATTTCATACAATGACAGAGTATGCTTCTTTCATGCTTGCTAGAATCCTAGTGATTATTAGATCCCCAGCTGGTATTTTTTTTTTTTTTAATCTGCACTCAGTCGTTACCGACTCTGCAGTGACTGCTTGGACGAGTCCTTGCAGTTTTCAAGGCAAGGTGTTTCGGAAGTGGTTTGCCAGAGCCTCCTTCCTAGAGCAGAGCCCAGCTGGCGAGCGCAGGAGGCGGGGTTTCCATTGCTTTGCGCCCTTTTTGGGCGCGCGCGGTTTTTCGCGCTTACCGGCAACTGCTGCCGACTCCTTTTTTGCAAGGCGCCACCAGCATTTTTCCTCCCACCGGAGTGAGAGTACCCATTTATCTACTCACATGAGTTTTCGAACTATTGGGTTGACAGGAACTGGGGAGGTCACAGGAGCTCACCCTGTTAATGCGAAGGCTGGACTCGAACCGCTGAAGCGTCGACCATTTCTGGCTGGCAACTTTCAGCATCATTAAGCCGCTACACCACCGCGTCCCCCCAGCTGGTATAAGATACCTCTATATTAGAGGCCCAGAAAAGAACTGATACAAAACTCTAGAGAGTGACTACTTGAAGCCAGGCAACATATCTAAGATATGTTAGATAATATATGCCAATGATCTTGGAACAAAATTAATTTTTCAAAATAAATGGAACAATTATATGTAGTCTTTAAGAGGAGCTGTTGAGTATGTATTTCTGGAATTAGCTTAATATTTGGAATGTTCCCTACTATGTAAATAGTGAAGCTATGCATACTCATTTTTATTTACTTGGTAAAAGTCTTGTAATCCATAAAGAATAGTTATCAACAAAAGGAGCATCACACAAAATAAATACAAAATCAACAATTATGAAATTTTTGAAAGTTTCAAGTGCACAGAAAGTTTCAAGTGCACAGGTTCATGTCATCACTGTAATATACATGCAGACCATTATGAATTTTCATTGCCTAGAATAAGACAAGGGTTCCAAAAACTTCTAAAATCTGGTACAAATAAAATAGTTCAGAAACTATGAAGTATGTAGCATTTGGAGGCATCAACCAAAGTTACTACTTACTGAGTGGCAATCGCAGAACTTGTGCTTTTGACCATTTTATGACCCTGTTCATCCAGCCCTGAAGATTTGGTACTGAAGTCTGCTGCTAAATATTTTTTAGTCAGTTCAATGGAACCCAACACTGGCATAGATTTGGATTCAGAAGTAGCCAAAGTTCCAGTTGGATCTGAAATGAAAAAGAGTCCGGCATTTGTATTACATGTTGTTGGTATAGCTCAAATCTCTAAATACCTGTAATGCTTACATTGGGCATACAAATGCAGATCATTTATATCATTTGCAGAATTCAGATCTCCTGCTAATATACCTTTAGCCTCAGGAATAAGATAATTAATTCAACTACATAATTTACTAATTTTTGCCAAGTCTCTCGGATACACTATATAAATATTGTGGAGAGAGGAACATGCTTATTATCAAATAGAGCTGTTTCCCCAAAGTTAGAGTGATGACCATGGCTAAAGACTCAGAGTCTGGTTAAGCAGATACTTTGAAGTTTACCTACAACCAGTATCCTTTGATACTTTTTGGTCCCTACTTTTATCAACAGATACTACTTTTTAAGAGTGGCCAATGCAACTCAAATCAATGGGCCTCAAAGACCACGTTTTCTACAACAACATTTTATCAATCTGAACCACATACTTTAGGAAATATTGTTATTTGTATGAAAAAATAAGTGGTGCTGTATCAAAAAATGTCCTGAAAAAAGATTTGTTTACTTTTCTTGTAGACCAACATCCATCCAACATGCCATTTTCACTTCCCCTTTCATATTTGCATTATTTGGATATGCACAGTAATGGACCAGGGGCATGGGGGGGGGGGTTGCACTTACATCTATTATCTGAAAAAAATAGAAAACTTATTTCCTGACTACTTACCTACTTCATTTTTTTTATTTGCCATCTTTTAGAACAACATCCTCCTAAGGTGGCTTATAGAAACAACAAAAAAACTATAGAATACAACAGTTCTGCACAGCAATTTGCATAAATCAAATCAGAAGCAAATAACACCCCAGCACCACCAATTATTCATTTCAAATTCCAGTTCTAGTATTGCTTAAGTTAAAGCAAATAGAAACCCAAATGTGTTAAGGTCTGCTTAAAAGCTAATGAAGCCAATAATACTGGAAAGGCCATGATCACATTGATTGATAACTCCTTGTGGGAAAATGAAAGAAGGAGTGCAACATTGCTGTTCCTGCTTGATCTCTCAGCAGCTTTCAATATAACTGATCGTGTATTCTCCTAGACCATCTCTGGGAGCTGGGGACTAGGGGCATGGTACTACAGTAGCTCCACTCCTATTTACACGGATGGTCTCAGAAAGTAGTACTAGATAGCTGTGCCTTTACACTCTGGCAGCTATGCTGCAGAGTGCCACAAGACATTATTTTGTCTCCAACATAATTTAAAATCTACATCAAACCATTGGGAGCAGTCATTGGAGATCTTGAAGCCATGTGTCATTAATATCTGAATCAGGAGAGATTGTGCATATTCTGAACCACTGTTTAGATGCAGCAATAGGGTAGATGAGGGCCAAAAAACTAATAATGTATCCTGACACGGGTAAGTCAGTGGCTCCTGAGTTTGGAAACTGGGAGTTTACTTGTTCTAAATGGGGTGCACTTGGAATCATAATTGTCACTGGAGATCCAAATGAGCTCTGTGGCTAGTAGTGCCTACTGCCAGCTTTGGCTGGTACACCAACTACACCTTTTCCTGACCAGAGGTAGTCTAGCTACAATTATTCTTGTACTGATAACCTCATGTTTAAATTACTGTAATGTACTCTGTACATACCTTATGCTTATACCTTATTCCTGGTTGAAAATGGTGCAAAATGTGGTCACCAGGCTGGTGAATGGGGCACCTGGCCCTGAAGACGTTACACCTTTGTTGAAGAAACTGCACCGGCTAACAACTAGCTACTAAGCCTGGTTCAATATTTTGATTAGGACATGTAGTGGGACCAGGACACCAAACAGACTGCCTATCCCAGTAGATACACAGCCTTGGTTGAGGATCCTGCTATCTGTGCTGTGAGCTTCTGAATGCCATCTGATGGCTTGTTATTAGCAGCCCTTTTCTGGAGTGCTGCTCTTTTCTTCTTCCTCTGAAATTTAAGAAGTGCTTTCCATGCTATGTTTAGGCACCTTTGAAAACTTAACCTCTCTCCAGGCCTCCCTAGTACAAATGTGGAGATTTTTTTTCCTTCTTTTCCTCCACACTTTAATGAACATATTTAGTTGAATATTGGTTTTATATTGCACTAAGTACTGTTCTATTATTTATTTTACTTCTCTTTGTATTATAAACCGCCTCAAGATATTTCAGGATAAAGATGTATTAATTAAATAATGAAAGCACAGTAAGGATACACGTGAAGGAATTTCACTGATCTTTTATTCAATAGCAGCCAATCTGACAGTATTTGATGCTAAATTTACAAAAAAGGCTTTTGAAGAGCATCTCAAGGTGAGGCACATTTGTATGGCTGCAAACAGCCCTTCAAATAACCTGCCCCAAATGATTTAGGACTAAGTTGTTTTAGAAGTCATCTTTCTAAATGTCACAAAATGTATTGATGTGCAGGCCATACTGACATCAGTTTGCTATTATGAATATGATATCCAAGTGTTAATGTATGCGCTCATCTTAGGAACTGAAAAAGGTCATATTAGTTGAAAAAGTCACAGCAGCTTTCATGTCAATGTCTAAATACTGGAGCAAGAGCTTGCTTAATTCGATGGTTTACTAACCAACACTTTGATGTTAAGAGTGCAGCTATTATGAGAACATGAATCAGCTGGAAATGTGATCAGAGCTCTGCCAGATAATGAGGACTTGAATATTCAAGTTTCACAAGAAAGTCACATGGATCTTTGGAACAGCACTGAAAATGTAACATACTTCAGTTGCAGGTTCTGAAAACATCTCCATTACTTACTGCTACTATCTTGATCAGTTGTCACTTTTCTGAGCCTCAAAATTCGTTCTAATTCTGTTTCATCACTGTATGTGTCAAGGGATTTTAAACTTCTTGAACTTGCAGATGTATTCAAAGTCTCCTGTAACAAAATATGTCAGTGAAAAATGACCAATATGAGAATCAAGAGAACTTACTGGTGATCTTAAATAAACCCCACACCATCCATTTCTAAGAAAGAATTAATTGTTGATGGCTTAGGTGTTAAGCAGCTTTAAAAAGGACTTCTTGTCTGAGAGATACCAAGATTCATGATTCCTTCTATATGCACACAAATTAATTAATTAATTAATTAAACAAACAAACAAACAAATAAACAAATAAATAAATGTCTACCAGTCTCAGAATTCAGAAGCATGATCAGCCATTGATGGCTAGGGATTATGGAAATTGATGTCCAAAACACAGATGCCACTAATTAAAAAATGAACAGGGTATAGATGGCCAAGCATCCCTCCTGAAACTTACATTTCTGACTAGTTGCAAACTGAGAATAACTCCACTGTTGACAATTTCTCTGCCCCATCTCACTCAACTTTTCAAGCTCTAGTGAGGTACAGTATGGTTTTCAAACCCTATCCCTCCTTACTCCAAATTTCTTCCAATATTATAGACCATGGTATGATGGCAGCACAAAATAAAACACCTTACACATATGCAGTTTGGATTATGCCTACATTCTGTCGAAAATGACTATGAAAGAAAATGAAAACACAGGATATAATTCTTAAAATTGGCACATCTTTAAAGACTTAAGGAAAACAGCATTTAATTCCCAATGTTTCCTCCAATTAAGTTAAATCCTGCATTTTGTTAGTTCTTTGAATTTAACAGAGCAGTCATATTATTAGCAAATCAGTCCTTGCTATTGTGCTCATGCTACAGATCTAGTAGCAAAGCAAATAACGTAAGCTGTTTTACATTGAGCTTGAAATGGAACAAATTAATATCACTTTGTTTACCACAATTATACAGAGGCCAACATAAAATGCATAATTAGCACAGTAACAACATACATATAAGTATTTTGCTTTATGTCCCCCAATCCTATTCTTCCCATCTCACTGTGCTAATGACTAGGCTTGTGAGCATGTTAGAAGTTGGTTTTATAAAGTGCTCTTTTTAGTTCCAGTACAGAAAAGATGTACAAGGAGCAGTTTGTATCTTATTATAGCTAGTACTGAGATGCTTATTCAATCTACAAGCTGAGGTCTTTACATGGAAAAGGGATACCAGGTTGTCTCTGTAAAAGCCCCACAGAAACTGATGAAATTAAGAGACACCCACAGATCTTCTGACGTCTGTTTGCATCTTTTTTTTACATATGCCAAATATAATCAAGGTTTTACAGGGGAAAAAAAATCACAGTTGGCCTCCCTGCCTCTCTCCACCCCATCTCCACCCCTACCCTGCCAGACCCCAGTCCAATTTACCAGTATTCCTTTTAGCTCTTTCATTGCATTTTCACAGGGTTTGGCCACTTCTTGCTGTAATTAAAAACAAAACACTTGTCTAGATAATCTGATTTTGCAGATGCTGAATAAAATATTCAAGAGTCAGCAAGAAATAAATCACATCTGTGGAGATAAAAATAAAAGTAGGATTCCACAAGGAAGTTCTTATTTTGAAGTATAAGATTTTGGACTACAGCAGTTGGATCTTAAGTGAATCTTAATAGTATAAAGTTGGGAAGGAAGGCAGGAAGGCAGGAAAGGGGAAAAAGGCAGGTAGACAGGTAGGCAGGCTTTTTTATTATATGTCTGTAATATTTCTGGTAAAAAAAAAGAATGTTCTAATAGCTTGTTCAAGTATGACTATATTTAACTGTAATAATACAGAATGAATCACAATGCTGGTGGTTTCCACTCTCCCCGAAACATAACAAAACTTTTCTTCACAGCCAGCCTATGGGGCAGGTGAAGAGGTTCTGAGACAGGTGAGTGACAGAATCCACAATTGTTTAAAAAGTAATATCTATACAGTTTCTAATAATAATAGTAGCCATAGATTGTTTCACTAGGCCTCCAACTGTCCATCTAGATCTCCTATTTAAATAACTGAACTCATTTTAATCATACACATATTTTCACTATACATTGCTTACTCTATATGTGCTAGGAGCTGGTCCAGCTACCAGAATCAGGACTTTGTATTCCGAGTACTAGAATCTTATTCATATCTAAGGATTCTCATATCAGAAAAGGGAAGCACATGAATCAGCTGATGCATTCTTAGTATTTTGAATATGGATGACCGTGGGATCAGGGCAGATAGGATATTAATAACAAGAAACATACAGTTATAAGAATAGTCAATTTCTATAGAAGTAACCCCCTCCCTCATTTTTTATGTAGATTATTAACTACCAACCTTTGTCCTAAAACGGTTGGTCTGATTAACAGGCCTAAGGTGAACTCCTTTTTTAATTCTATCCATCATTTCTTCCACAGCTTGTCTCTTCAGATCTGTTACTTCTCCTGTTCCCAAAATAAAGTAAAAATAAAATCAGCAAATGTGTGTACATGCAGAAAAGGTTGTGTCATGCATCATTACAAGCTGAGTTCTTTGAATACAGCTAGAGGTGGAGAATATTTCTCAGTGGTCTGAATGGACTGACCAAATCACATTAAAGAAGGCCTGTACCAATGATTCTCACTATCTAGATACAGAGTGCAGCAAAAAAAGAAAGTTAGGTGTGTGAAATATAACATAAGTGCTGTGCGGAAGGAGTTCTCTGCTACTGGATTTTGATTACAGGTAGTCCCCAGTTTAAGAATGAATTCTGCTCCCAAGGTCTGTCTGTCCTTAAGTTAAATTTGAATGTAAGCTGGAACAGTATTATTGTATAATACTGTAAAAGTAGTACTGTGTAATTAACTCAAACCATTGTGTATTTAACTCGAAATATTGTGTATTTAACTCAAATTTTGCTACAGTAGACTCTGTTCTTAACTATGTTTCATACCTAAACCAGGTGCTCTTAACCTGGGGACTATCTGTAATTAAGTGCCATCAAGTAATTAAGTGCCATTTAGCAACCACACAAATCTTCTCCAGGATGATCTGTCCCCGACCTGGCACTTCAGGTCTTTCAACAGCATATCCATCACTGGTGTAATGGAGTCCATCCACCTTGCTGCTGGTCCTCTTCTTTTTTATTATTTATTATTAAATTTATATGCTACCCATCTCCCCCTTCTTTTCTTTCCTTCCACTTTTCCCAGCATTATAAACTTCTCAAAAGAACTAGGACTTGGCATAACATAAGTTATGACTTAAGTCAGACTTCTGAATTAGTTTGTTCTATGATCCTTTTATTTGTTCTCTTAGCGACCCATGATATTCTCAGAAGTCTTCTCCAATACCAAAGTTCAAAAGTATGAATACTGTTTTGTCCTGCTTTTTCAAAGTCCAACTTTTGCTTCCATAGAGTGTCACAAGAAAAACTATTGTTTCCACAATTCTGATCTTGGTTGAGTATCGTTTCCAAGGCCTTCATTGCTACCTTACCAAGTGCTAGCCTATGGCATATTTCTTGACTGCTGTTTCCTTTATTGTTGATAAAAGGCAGAAGTTATCCATTGCTTCAATATCTTTATTGTACGTTTAATACTGATTGCTGCATGGGTTGTCATTAATTTCATCTTTATATTTAATCATAGTCTATATTTTTCACTGTGGTTTTGACATGTTAAGTCTGGAGAGCAGAGATACTGCTCCCTTTGGAGAAGCAGCAGATGCTTTCGACCCTGACTGTCTACACAAAGAAGTGGTAACTCAAAATGATACAGAAATCTAAATGCTCTTTGGGAATCCTAGGTAAATAATTATATCATTTCTTAGGAAACAGGTGCTTGAATCTAATTAGTGAAAGAGAAGAATTTCATTCAATCAGGAATAGAAGTAGACAGACAAAAGTATCAAAATCTTTTGCTCCTGGCAACTTCCAGTGTTTCCCAAAACAAAATACAAAACAAAAATGGAACCCCTGGAGCCAAGACTTCAGAGTGGTATCTAGCAAAATACAAGATTACAAACTACAAAAATACAGAGAATTGACATACCATCTCTCCTTCCCACTTTTTACCACTCTGTGGCTCCCCTTGCTCTTTCTTTATCCTTTTCAGAACCCTGTCTACACTGTCTTCCATCCTCCCTCTCTTCCCCATGGCCTTTCTTAATCTGTAGCACACCTTTTACATCCATCACATCTCTTTCCTGTCCTGCCTATTTAAAGGCCTGCAGCTCTCCAATCAGAACGGAAGTTGGGATATATAATCAAGGCTTGGTAAAAAAAACTATTAGCATAATGAAGAGTGGCACAGAGATTGTTTTCTAAGGCAAGAAAACTGGTGTGAAGACTAGACAGCCTGGCAGACACACCAGGCCTCTAGGATTGCATGTTGTTCTGTTGTGGATCCCACAATAGGAGCGCTTCTAATTTGTAATTCTATGGTCTGCCATAACACAATTGCACAGAAAGAAAGATGTTTGGAATCTGATGCTGTGATTACCTGATTGTTTATCACAAGGAATCAGTCTGAAGAAATCAGCAGGTAGAAGCAAGGTTACGCATACTGATCAAGCACAGAAACTCAGCTTGAGTATATTAGATAGGCTGTGCCTCCCAGCAGAATCTGCCCCCTTGGGATTTAGAAATGTTGTATTTTACATTTTTGGGACCACCACCACAATTATTCATAGCAAAACCCCCTGCTTGTTTGTGTTGGCTTTCAGTGAATAGGAATGTTCTTAAAATTGGTTTTATTTTATTTAAAGTGCCTAGAAGGCACAATATTGTGCAACTGCTGTGACAGAATGATTCATTTTAAATACACTATACCTGATTGTTGCTGAGACGCCTTTTCTTTTTTGGCCAGATTGCTGTTTGGATGAGACTTCTTACGAATCATTGACATCAGAGACCTTTCAGAAAGAGAAGATGGAGACAGTCACACAGCTTTCTCTTGAACATGACCCCAGTACTTACAAAAAGAGTTTTTTGGATCTTAGCCACCTATAGTCCCGCCATCACTAGAACATAAATACTTCTGGGATTGGGGCCTATTTCTATGACATGCATTGGTGAAAAGAACTGGCATTAGCCAACAAACAGCTAGTGCTTTTATTGATGAGTGTTCAAACATTGCCAGGTTGAGACAGAAATGTCACACCTCCTAAAAATACAGCCTGTGTATTATTTATTTTGCTCTTGCTGTTGACAAGGCATAGTGCAAAACACTCAAGATCTGAATATTAAAAAGGTAACATGGCACAGTGACATGTGTGACAAAATAAAGCTTTCTCACACAATAAAAAATTGAAGGGTTAGAATGTTAACGTGACACATTACTCTCCAGAGAATAATGTTACCCAGCAGGATACCTCTATAACGTCCCCTCCTTTCTACAGTATGTGTTTGTTGGAACAGGCCTACTGGTAAACAAACAAAATGAGAATGGAAAATAAAGCCCTCACAGTATCTATGCTTGCCATTCAGTCTACAAAGCATGATATTAATTTTAAACAGGCACTGCCAAGTCAATATTTAATCAAATATGAGGTGTTTGTTGTAATTTCTTTTCTTTTTTTTTAAAGGCTTTTAAAAGGGGGAAAACATTATTATTAAGTATGTGAACCAGGTTCTCTTGAGTATCATTCAAAATGTTGAATAACAAGTGAATGATGAATACATAAATCCAGAAGTTTTGAAACAATCCGAGCTGCCTGCAACATTGAGAGGATAAGTAGACTTTAGAACTGTGAGAACTCCTCCAAAGTATAAAAGTTAAATAGTGTGATGGTGTCATGCTGCTTAAATTGAAATAGACCAGCATTTTGGTTTTTTACATTAAACAATCAGGAAAGTTATGTTCTAACCATATCTTATCCTGCAAGCCAGGACAATAGCACAATATCTGTTACGTATATACTGGATAATATAATGGATGTTTCTAGTATTTAGAAAGCAACCTATGACCATTAAAGTTGCTAGAATAATGCTGGTCTGTAGCCATTGTCAATTCCATCTATAGAAATCCTTGCTGTAAAACCTTCCTGAAGTGATTTGGCTCATCTTTGACTTTTCTCCTATCTCCCCTGTTTTTAGTGTCTTGGGTACATATGACAGTTGACTGCATTTATGATTGCCTTATGTGAAGGGAGAACACTGTTACTTCCACTTCATCAACTATGTCTTGCTTAGGTTAGTATCAAATCATGGATAGCTGATCATCTTCTATGTTCTGAGGAAGAAAGTTGTCAGCAAGAAGAGTCAGGAATTTCCATACTGGACAGAGTTTGCTTCCAAATTTATGTCAAGATAATTAGTTACCCATCACTACTACTGCATGCTTCTTTAAATAAGAACTATAAACACATTCACACCTGCTTCTTGGTAGGTTGGTCAATAGTTGGCACCAACAGTAGCACTACTATCATTTGTCTCTTCACTTTTTTTTAACCTATACAGTATGTTCTCTATAGTGTTGCCAAATTCAGTCACTTGGATTTTGTTCAGGTGTGGTTACTTTTAACATACAGTGCTACTCTTACATTCTTCTATTGCATCTCTATTTTTCAATCACAGGTGTCTTCCCACTAGATGTCTACTACACCTATGACATTTGCCTTCTATACTCAAGCTGTATGATGACCAGACAGCAACAGTTGCAGTGACATATGGAGCAACTAAATGATTCAAAATTGGGAGTGTGCCAAAGTTGTACATAGTTTATTTATTTACCATAAATGCAAAATGGATTATGAAAAATGCTGTAATAGAAGAAATAGAAACTGGAATTAAAGTTGTCAGAAGAAACATCAACAATATGTTGATGATACCACAATGTGGATGGAAATGAGGAAGACTTAAGGAATCTCTTACAGAATGTAAAAGAAAACAGTGAAAAGGTTAATCTGCTGCTCAATTTTTTTAAAACTAAAATTACATCAATGGGCAATGCCAACTCAGTGTCAATTGGTAGAAGGGAAACTGAAATAGTAGCAGACTTTATGTTCCTAGGTTTAAAAAGGCTTGGTGACTGTAGCCATAAAATAAAGTAATGTCTGCTACTTAGAAAAAAGACTATTACAAATTTAGACAAGATATTAAAGAGCAGAGACATCACACTGACTATAACGGTACATGTTGTCAGGGCTATGGTTTTCCCAGTTGTAACATATATCTGTGAAAGCTGGATTATCAGAAAAGCTGAACAAAGAAAAAATGATGCCTTTGAATTGTGGTGCTGGAGAAAATTGTTGAAAATATCATAGACTGCAAGAAAAACCAGATGAAGTAAAAACAGACTACTCATTGGGAGCACTAATAATGAAACTACAGCTTAAATATTTTGGACACCTAATGCTAAGACAAGAGTCTTTGCAGGAAGTATTGGTGCTTGGAAAAATCACAGGCAATTGAAAAAAGGCCTACCAAAGACAAGGAGATTAGAAACTATCACTGACATAAGTATGAGATTGTCAAAACTCGAAGAAGCAGTTAACAGAAAAATCTGGGGAAATGACTGGGCCACAAAGAATTCAAAGTGACTGAATTACAGGGCAACTCAAGCTCGCTTTGCTTATTTCCAATACTCTACACATTAGTGTTAGATATTGAATAAGAGGAATTCTGCGAGCCAATTTTTTTAAACTGATTTTTCATTGAATCGTTGATTAACTCCTATTATAGTAACTCTCTCACTTCCTTCTTAAACATACAAGGCTTTATCTGAGACTCTTTCTTCAGAGTTTTCATCTTTAACCACCCCAGAATTCAGTTTAAAGACATCCTATCAAGTTTGCCATGCTTCAGCCAAGCACATTTTTACCACTTTTATAAGGAACAATCCTATTTTGTTCTGTCAAATTCTTGATCCATGCTCCTAGCATGGGAACATCCCTTCTGTTCTTTTTTCCTGCTCAGTACAGCAAAGAATTTATTGAAAAGACATGGTTTACCAGCAAACATTTCTCTGGCCACAAGATGCTGGTCCCAAAAGCTAAGCACCTGCTTCCATTGAAAGAATCCAATCCACAAAACCCCAGAATTTGCTGGTGGTACCACTGCTTGGTGAAATTTGAAGGCTGGTGGTATGGGAGAGAAGCTATCACTTGGAAAGAGAGGCTGTCTTTAACAGCCCAACCCAGCAAAAAGCCTTGGTTCTGGAGAAAGAAGAAAGCCCAAAAGACTATATCCTCTAGACAGCTAAGCACATTTTTCAAAATTTCTTTTTGGGATTCACACTTCTTTTCTCAATCCTTCGAAGTACTAGTGTTACAAGATGTGTTCCCCCCTCCCCCGAATATGTATTTCTAGGAGTAAGATAGCCAAGTTGCCAAGTTGTAGAGCATTCAAGTGGATCTTTTCCCATAAAAGTGTCTTTTACCACCATGGCTGGGTGATGGCCTGCTTCACTTCACCACAGATGGATCAAATAAGCATCGCTGACTTTCTTGGGCACCAGCAGGTAATGCTAGTCAAGCTGCCCCACTGTCTGGACTTCAGATGTGGATTACCAGAAGAAAAGTTTGTTCATTGCAACCTTCTGAATGATCATTCAATGAATGATCATTCAATGTTATCTATTAGGGTGGCAATAAAAACCATTGTCTGCCTGCTGTATGGAACTGCTGCTAGGATGACTTCCAAGTGTTTGGTAAATCAGTGCAGCTCTGTTCTAGCACCTAGAAAACTTCATCTAGGAGGAAGAACTTGATGTTTTGAAAACTGAAGGTGCTGAAACTCCCAACGTGATCAGCCAAGGGGCCAGCAATGAAAACCTGGGTCTTCCAAGAAAATTCCAGGGCTTAGGAAACCAAATCCATTCCACTGAAAATGCTGCAATCCTTTAAACCAAAGGCTCCCCAAAGACTCGGAACTGCTCAGCAATCTGTTGGTCCAGTTCTCTTGCACAAGGGAGAAGATGCCAAAAAAATATTCAGAAAATTTATCCAGGATTGTCAGCTGTTTGCCACATTATTTTGGCATAGCCTATGCAGCATGGGTAGGATACCAGCCTCCTGTACCAGAATAGGTCTTGACAGACCTAGTTATCCTACCTGCACTGCCAACCAGGTGCTAATCCTAAAATGCAGAAACTGGCTTTTGCCAAAGTGAGAGACATAACAGCAATGTTTCAAGCTGCTAGGATGAAGGAAAGTGAGGAAGAACAATCAATCATACGATGCCCCACTCTGCTCTTCAGGGATTCACCATCCTGTACCCTGTTTTATAATGTCTCTTTTTGTTCTCCTT